TAGGATTACAGGTGTAAGCCACCAGCACCTGGCTACTTTTGTATTCTTAATTAGCTCCCCCAAACAACTTTTTTGTGGCACCAATATTTGAACTCGGGGCCTCGGCTTGAGCCATACCTCCAGCTTTTCTGCTTATTTCTACAATTTAGCACACACACAAATGTTGAATAGTTTAAACACATCATTTTTCACTTGTAAATTGCAAGTGCTGTTACTGGAGTTTGAACTCAGGGCCTGGGCACTATCCCTTAGCTCTTTCACATATGACTGGTACTCTGCTAATTAAGCCACATTTCCACTTTGGCTTTTTGATGGTTTGGAGGTGTCTCATACTTTTCTAAACCTTTCAACTACCCTCATACCTACGACTTCTGAGTAAGCAGGATTACAGGTATGAACCACCAGCACCCAGCTAAAAAGGATTAAGTTCAAAGGAGAAATTTGGTTGAGGAAAGACAAGTACAAGCAAGATTTGGTGTTACTAGATTATGTAAGGTTAACTGCATTGTAGAAAATCTTTTTTGTCAGTTGTGGGGATTGAACTCATGGTTCCTGAGCTTTTTTGCTCAAGGCTGGTGTTCTACCAATTTTAGCCATAGCTCCCCACTTCCAATTTTAAGTCGCATGAACTTTCCTGCCTGGGCTGTTTTTAAACCATGATCCTGAGATCTGTTGCTTGAGTAGCTAGGATTATAGGTGAGTGCCTGGCTGAATGGCTGAATTTTAGAAAACATTTTAACACTGTACTTGAATTTTTCTAAAAACATCTAGTATTTAATTTCTCCCCTATAGCTGAGAAATTTTTGAAGTTGTTTCATACTGGTCATAATTTGGGTGGGCAATAAAATTGTGTGGCAGTACTGGGGTTTGAATTCAGGGCATCATAGTTAAACAGATGACTCCACCACTGGGCCAATAAAAAATTCTTTAACAATTGCCATGAAAAAATAGATGTTCTCCCTTTAGCTGCTCCAATACCATACTACCAGATTACTTAAAGTTTAGGAAATCAGGATGAGCAAAATACTTTGTATCACTTTGCTAAACTTTATTATGCTATGTCCAATTGACACAGTATGAAAACATGCATTTGCCTTGGTATTTTTTGAGTGTGCTGGGGCTTGAACTTTTGGCCTGGGTGCCATCCCTGAGCTTCTTTTACTCAAGGCTAGAGCTCTACCACTTCAGCCAGTTCCACTTCTGGTTTTGTTTTTGTATTAATTGGAAATGAGTCTTTCCTGTCCAGGCTGGCATCCAAATAAAAACTGAGCCTCTTGAGTAGCTAGGATTACAGGTATGAGCCACCATTGCCCACTTCCTCTTTGCATTCACATTTTAATTAAAAAAACATTTATCTTTGCATTCATTTTAATTTACAAAAACACATTTATCTTGGTAATTCCCTATTTTTCTTTTTGTAGGTTTTATAGGACAAAATGGTTTCTCACTTGTCAAACATTACTACTGCTAGTACTCTGTGCTTATTCCTTTCTCAATTTCCCTAGTATAGGTGGTATCTATTCTTTTCTTGAGAAAATTTAGCATGCGAATACTAATTTCTGATCCTACAGTATGCTTCCAGCCATCTCTACCTATGCTCTAAGTATAAATGTTTTACCCAGTTTAATTCTCTAAAAAGTAACTTTAATTCCAAGGACAAAAAGCAGAACTAGTGAGGTGTTCACACCTGTAATCCTAGCTACTAAGGAGACTGAAATAACTGTGGATCAAGGTTTGAAGCCAGCCCAGACAGGAAAGCCTGTGAAACTCAAGCCCTGAGTTCAAGTTCCAGAACTAGCACATTCACAAAAACACACACAAAACTACCATTTCAAAGAATAACAAGTAGTCTCACTTGCTTACAATCTCAAAACGCAGGGCATTGTATATTGTACTAAATGGCATTGACATACTCCATGTTGTTAAATTTCAGTTTTATTAAAAAATAATGAGATGCAGTGGCATTTCCATAGACAAACAGAGCAGAGCATGCATTTACCATGTTCACCCACCCATCTAAACCTCCCCCCATATATCCCCCCTTCCTAGTCACCTTCCAAGTTCTTAATAGTCATTCTACTTTCAGGGCATTTGTCACAGTAATTTTTTTTTTTAAATTCAGGTCTTGTGCATGGGCAGGTTAGCTGTTCTATCAGGTGCCTCTAGACTTTCCTGTGGGGGCACACCCAGACAACCCTATGTATACTTCTCACACAGCTGAAGTGACAGGTGTGATCCATCTTGTCCAGCTTTTCATTGGCTGACTCTTGGAAACTTTTGGCCTACATTGCCTTTAAACTGTCATCATCCCTGTCTTCCAAGTAGATAGTATTATAGGAGAGTCATGGATGAAGGAAAACAAGCAGTGCTTGACTTAGTCTGTGGTTCTATTTTCCTGCAAATGACAGGATTTTCCTCCTCCATTAAAGCTGCATTGCGTTTAGACCATTTTTAAATCTATTCTGTTGACACTCAGGCTAATTCACTATATAGGTTATTGTGAAATACTGTCATGGGCATGCATTTATCTTATATGCTGACATTTGCTGAGATATATCTTGGAATAGAACCTCCATTTTTTGTGTTGCACAGTGGCAGTACTAACAGTAGGCAGAAGTCCATTTTCTCCAGTCTTGCCCCCTCCCCCCACCTTTTTTTGGTCGGTCATGGGGCTTGAACTCTGGGGCCTGTGCACTGTCCCTTAGATCTTCAGCTCAAGGCTAGTGCTACCACTTGAGCTACAGCACCACTTCTGTCTTTTTCTGCTTATCTGGTGCTGAGGAATCAAACCCAGGGCCTCATGCTTGCAAGGCAAGCCCTCTACCAGAGCCACCTCCCAACACCGCCCCTCCCCTTTTTTAACAGTAGCTTGAATTTGAATCTTACTGTACTTCTTATTTGCAATTCTGATGGCTGAGAAATTTTTCTTTAACTGGCCATTTTCTTCTTTTAAGACCTATTCGTACATCTTTTGGTTTTTGTTTTATTCATATGGCATTATGCCATATAAATAGCAAAGATTTCCCCTAATCATTTCTCTTCATCGTCTTCTTGTTTCCTGTGCTTTTGGGTTCTTATCTGGGAAACAATTCCAAGTATCAACTACAAGTAGGTCTCTGATCCATTTTGTTCTGTACAGGGAGGTAAGTTTCTAGTTTCAATTTGCTACATATAGACATCCAATTGTCTCAATAATGCTTGAATTTCTGCTTCATCTCTTACTCATGGCCTATCATAATTTATATAAAATTGAACATGTCCACACCTGGCACACATAAATTTATTCCTTTTAACAAATTGTTCTCTTAATAATTAGTGATATTGTGAAGCATTTTTTGTGTCTTCATGTATACCTTTGCCAAGAGAAGAAAGTTTCAAGTAGGCTATATATTGGGTCCTCATTCAGCTAGTCCAAGGCTATATATTGGGTCCTCATTCAGCTAGTCCAGATATTTTCGTTGGAGAATTAAGATTATTTACATTCGGTTAATACTGAAAGATGTGCATTTGTTTCATTACTGATTTTTCCAAAGGTGTTTTGTTAATTCATCCCTCTTATCTCTGACGTTCTATAATGCTGACTATTCTTTTTCTTCTGAGTGAAGAATTCCCTCAAGCATATTTCGTAACGTTGGGTTAGTGGTCATACATTTCCTTAGCTCATTTTTATCTCTAAATGTCTTTATTTCTCCTTCAAATGTGAAAGACAACTTTGCCGGGTATATTAATCTTGGTTGGCAGTTATTTTCTTTGAGAACTTGGAGCACATCATTCCATGCCCTTCTGGCATTTAGAGTTCCTTCTGAGAAATCTGCTGTTAATCTAATGTGTTTACCTTTAAATGTTACCTGGTGCTTTTCTCTTGCAGATTTTAGAATTCTTTCTTTGTCCGTTACTCTTGATAATGTAATTATGATATGTCTTGGACAAGTATTTATCTGGTCTGATCTACTTGAGGCTCTAAATGCATTCTGTACATGGATATCCATGTTTTCCCCAAGATCTGGAAAATTTTCTGATATTATTTCCTTGAATAGTTCTGCTAGGCTTCCAACCCTTAGCTCTTCTCCTTCAGGTATGCCAATGAGACGGATGTTTGATCTTTTTATTGAATCCCCAAGAGTTTGTAGTTCTTCTTCACTCTCTTTTAATTTTCTTTGTATATTTCTCTCTGACACTAATAGTTTAAAAGTCCTATCTTCGAGATCTGTTACTCTTTCTTCTGTTTGGCCTACTCTCTTATTGAGGCTTTCTACTGATCTTGTCATCTTTTGTGTCATTTTTGAGATTTCTCTTACATCCCCTTTCAAATCTTGTACTGTCTTCTTCAAGTCTTCACAACTGCTTATTATACAGTCTTTTCTGCTTATTATACAGTCTTTTATCTGTTCACCTGCTTCACGAATAGTTTCACAGCATGCCTTCGTATGTTCATTCATCACTTCTCTCAGACTCTCTCGCAAGTCCCTCTTGAAAGAAGTCCATATTTCTTCATTTTGCATTTCATTCGCTCTAGAATCTTTGGAATGAGTTACCAGAGAATTAGAAATTTTAGATGTCCCATTACCATTTTTTTTCTTATTTCTGGTACTTCTACGTTTAGACATCTTCGTATTTTGGGTTGGATACCTCTTCTACTTTTATATAATAAATGGCTTTCTCTTAACTTGCTTTAAGGAACCAGCTCTCCTCCTGCCCCCTGCCCAATAATGCTCAGCTTCTTTCCAATTGGACTCTAGGTAAAATCTCCCTATGGCTTCATTGGATGCAATTCATTGGACACAATGAATCTACCCTACTGAAGTCTGAGGGACTATCTGTAGATCTTTCAAGAGGATATAATCTACCAATTATGCACTGTGGTTGTAAGAAAAAAAAAAAAAACGGAATCAGGTGATTGGTTTCCACAGAAACTGATAATACTGGCTCTGTTACTAAGTCAATCTGATACTGGCTATTTTAGTTGTGATGGGCACAAAGCTCTCAATCACTCCCGTAGTGGCTTTGGGAGCTGGGATCACAGCTTCCCCTCTCAGTGACACATCCAGTCTTGACAGCAATGTGTGACCAGCGATGGAATAGGGATGAGCAAGCAGAGCACCCTTGGTTGGTACAGTTCACACAACAGTTATTACTTTGAGGCTTAAAATTCCATCTTAGCTGTCCCAACCTGGGTAGTGGTCACTGTTCAGGAACTTTTGTTTCCCTATGCCTCAAGTTCAAATATCTGCCAATGTTTGAGCAGGTCTTGATGACAGCTGGAATTGGAGTTTCGTTCAGCTGGAAGTATGAAGCTCAGTGGCAGAGCACCTGACCAATTTGTATAACTGCCTGGGCTTGATCCGCAGCACTGTAAAAGAACAAAAAATGAAAACTGCCAATAGCATCAAACATAACAAAAGGGGAAGTTTAAAACTAGGAGAAAAAAAAATAAAAATATAAAGAGGAAAAAAATTAAGTAGGCAAAAAAATTCATTTTCACTCTTGATGAGGGAGCCAGTCAGAAGATCAGAACCTATACCAATCAAAGCTTCTCTTTGGGGGCCTGGGAAGGTGGTAGAGCACTTGCCGCATGCATGAGGCCCTGGGTTCGATTCCTCAGCACCACATAAGCAAAAAGAAAAGCCAGAAGTGGCACTGTGGCTCAAGTGGTAGAGCACTCGTCTTGAGTTGAAGAGCTGAGTGACAGCACCCAGGCCCAGAGTTCAGGCCCCACGACTGGACCCCCCCACCAAAAAAAAAAAAAAAAAGTCAAAAAGCTTCTCTTCGGATCTACCTTAGCTGTATACCCCATGAACAGAGCAATACTGCTAAAGATCCTCCTTTCTCCCCACCCTCGTTGTGCTGCTTGTTATATGAAAATTTCTTTCAGCCCTTTGTATACTAGAATGAGCTAGAGTACACCAAACTGCCACTCCAGTTTTTAGGCTGCATGCTTCAGTAGTATGGCAATGCAAACTAAATTACAATCATATGGGCTGGGAGGAGGTAAGAGAATACAAGTTATCTGCCACCTTAATGTTCCTTCAGGCTCAGTTCTGTACAAAACTACCCAACTATTCAACCCTCAACTCTTAGTAAGTTCCCCAAAGGGCTGATTTTAGAATTGCAGTCCATGTTTCCTACAGCATAAACTCCTAGTGTGTTTACGCCAAAGTCACTTCTCTGAGCTCTCTCACAAAGTTCTGGGGGAAACAGAACAGTACTTTCATTCACCTATATCCTTGCCTACCCCCGAAGTGTCCATGCTGATTAGGGCGTGAGAACATTGTTTCTTGTACTATTCTACCATCAAAAGCCTGTAGACCTAACCAGGTCTCCATTCCTTTGTTAAATTCCAGTGCTCATCTACTCCCCACTGTGGAACTGGACACCTGTTGCTCAGGTTCTATATGGTAAAGAAGCATCAGTGCTGAGAACCTCTACTACACCATCTTGCCTCTTTGAGTTTTCTAATCAGGTCAATTTCACTATTAGTTTCAAAACAAGACATGAAAATGTTTTTTATTGCTGCAAAGTCTCTAACTCTTTAAACTATAAACTGACAAAATAGGATTTAAATTATCTAAGTGACTACAAATGTGATGGTTGAGATAAGGTCAACCAACTCAGTTTAAAATAGGGAACAGTTAGAAAAACCTTCCCATCACCAGGTCTGAAAAAGTTTAGATTGAGAAACATTGCTTTGGGGAAAGGAAGACTCAACAAAGCCTAATCATAGAGACAGATCTAGTGACTAGAATACTTCAACCCCTGTCATGGAGGAAATAAATCCAGATACTGCCTTCATAATATCCTTTCCTAGGAGTACAACAGAAGAGATGGGGGCTCGGGAGGGTTATGGTGAGGAACCAAAACAAACATGAAACATGGGAGCACTACCCCCAACCACCTCTAGGATAAGACTAATTTCAAATATATAATCACACAAGAAAACCTTATTCATGGCACTGAGAAGCAACAGCCAGTTAGTTATCAGGCAAGCACAGTATCATCCTATAGCATCCCAATCCTTTTCTTTGGTTTTTCAATCTCCAAATGCAATCTAGAATGAATTGTACTCCTCCTACATTCATCTTGAAAAAAATGGGGAAGGTAAAGAACTTTTTTTTTCTACCAAGGGCCATTTGATTATTTTTAAGTAAAATTCATGAGGCATACATAATTATCAATCAATACAATACAGAAGTCGTGCACTGAATTCACTTTCATGAGATCCCATTTCTCATCCCCAAATCAACTGCTGCCAGCCATATGTCTGGATATTCAAGCCATCCTAGCACCTAAGCAACAGAACATGAAACTGCTCTTTCAACCAAAGGGGGGACACTAAAACAAAGTGAGCAAGAAAATGAGCTCTTTACTTCTGAGTATAATAGGAGAGACCTCACAAGAATGTAACATGAAAAGAATAATTCAGGGGCTGGGAAGGTGGCTCAGTGGTACAGCACTTGCCTTGCATGCACGAGGCCCTGGGTTCGATTCCTCAGCGCCACATAAGCAAAAGAAAAGCTAGTACAAAGGATCAAATTCACAAGGATCTGGTATATCCAAATTCAGGGAAACTAGTATGATTGCAAAAAAGTAATCAAGTACAAAAAAGAGAGATCCAAGTAGCAATGTGGGATACATCACATATGGGGTTCTGGAGGGGGTTCAACGATGGCCCTCTGAAAGGTTCTTTGGCATTCTATTCCCTGGAACCTATAAATGTAACAACCTTAGAGCCTTCACAGAGGCAAGTAACTTAATCTCATGAGACCATCCTGAATAATCTGTGTCTTAAATACTAAGTGTCCTTTTTTTATGTGGGAAGAGGTGGACATGCCAAGTGGGAAGCAGCAATTAAGAGTTTAGTGTCATCTGAGGCCAAGGAACACTTGGACCAGCTGAAACAAGGAAGGATGGCTCCTTCTCAACCTTCCAAAAAACATTTGCAAACTTTGAAAATTTGTATTTCTGGGCCTCAGAACTGTGAATGAATAAATCTATATATACTATCATAAAGGGGGGAGGGGCTGCAGACAGCTAACATACAAGACCGTTATGTGAGTCTGTCCTGTCAAATACCAAAATGGTTTTGTAGGCTTTTTACAAACCATGGTAAAGGTCTTCTCACCAATTCTAAAACATGCTCTTGGCTGGTCATAGTGCTGTTTGCCTATAATAGAGGCTAAGGCAACAGGACTGTGAGTTAAAGGCCAGCCTGGGATACATAGGAAGAACCTATCTCAAAAACTAAACAGAAGCTGGGCGATGGTGGCTCACACCTGTAATCCTAACTACTCAGGAGCCTGAGATCTGAGGATCACGGTTCAAAGCCAGCCCAGGCAGGAAAGTCCATGAGACTCTGATCTCCAATTAACCACCACCAGAAAACCAGAAGTGGTACTGTGGCTCAAGTGGTAGAGCACTTGCCTTGAGCTGAAGAGCTGAGGGACAGCGCCCAGGCCGAGTTCAAGCCCCATGATGGAGGACGGGGAGTGGGGGGTAGGAAGAAAAGGAAAAAAAAGGAAATAAAATGTGGTCATGGTTTTTTTTTATCATCCCATTTCATCAGAGAAATTACCTATGACTTTGAATTATCTAGAACAGTAAAAGTTTTTTTTTTTAATAGATTCTGATTCTACTCTCTTTAGGCCTGTTCTTTTTTTTGAGAGGGGTGGTGGTGGTGCCAGTCTTGTGGCTAGAATTCAGAGCCTGGGTGCTGCCCAAGGCTAGCACTTTACCACTTGAGCTACAGCTCCACTACCAGCATTTCTGGTAGCTAACTGGGGATTAAGAGTATCATGGACTTCCCTGCCCAGCTAGACCTGTTCTTTCTTAATCGCTGATTTATGAATCCACAGTTATGAAGCAGGCATCATTCCACAGCAGGGGGAAAAGGCAAAGACCTTGCTCTCCTTGTGATTATATAGAAGAAAGGGAAGAAGGAAGGGAGAGGGGTGAAGAGGTAAAAATATCAGGTAGTGATGCAAGCTATGAAGGCAAGAAACAGATCTGGATACGGTTTACAGTTCTGTCTATGTGTTGGGAGGTTCAGTTCTCAATGTGGTAATGTGGAAACCAAGTCTTCAAAAGATGGGGAGGAGCTAGTAGGTGATTTGAGGGTGCAACCCTCAAAAGAGATTATTTCTCCTACAATCCTACTTAATTTGGAGGTTATCAAAAGCTGAACCTGGCCCTTAGTCTCTTCTTCATGACCAACCTTGTGATTTCCCTCTATTTCTTTTTGTCAGTCATGGGGCTTGAACTCTGGGCGTGGGTGCTGCCCTGTGCTCTTCAGCTCAAGGCTAGCACTCTACACTTGAGCCACAGTGCCACTTCTGGTTTACTGGTCATGGTTAATGAGATCAGAGGCTCATGGACATTCCTGCCTGGGCTGGTTTTAAACTGTGATCCTCAGCGCTCAACCTCCTGAGTAGCTAGGATTAAAGGCGTGAGCCACCAGCGCCCAGCTCTTTCCACTATTTATGCTGACACCACTGACAACCATCATGAGGAGCCTTGCCAAGCTGGGCCAATGTGGGCATCAGGCCCTGAAACCTTCAGAACTGTGAGCTAAAGATACTAATTTTTTATATGCATATTTTGTCAGAAGGTGATACACAGGAAAATTCTGTTTGAGATTTCTCTTCTTGCTTAATTTTTTTTTGGGGCCAGTCCTGGGGCTTGAACTCAGGGGCTGGGCACTGACCCTGAGCTTCTTTTGCTCAAGGCTAGCACTCTACCACTTGAGCCACAGCTCCACTTCAGTCTTTTTCTGTTTATGTGGTACTGAGGAATCAAACTGAAGGCTTCATGAATGCTAGGCAAGCATCCACCTGGCCTTTTTTAGCTGAATCTTGAATGCATGTTTATATGTATGTGTGTGTGTATATGTATGTGAGAAGAGCATTCCAGGCAAAGGAAAAAGTACAAAGGAGCTGTAAAGCTTCTTAGCTTTGTGTTAGAAGAACAAGATAATGTGGTTAGAACACAGTAAAGAAGGACCAAAGTCCACAGGAGGTCAGAAAAAGAGGCTTTTAAGGACTTGTGGGATAAGGACTTAGTATTATCCTTAACACAATGGAAAACAGAACCTTAAACAAAAAAGTCTCTGTGTAGATGCTAAAGAACTTACAACTGTTATCCAAAACTGGCAGCAAGTTAGTACTGACATCTACAGCAGAGATCCTGTTGTCTTGGGTTGGGAAGTCAACAGTGGTGATAATGATAAAAGACAGAACTTTGCATATGGCTTTCTAATAAGATACAAGGTGTGAGAGAAAAGGAATTTAACCCAAAAGACTCTTCTGTTTTTACTCCAAGGAACCAGTGAATACTACTAATTATTAAGCTTGACTATAG